TTTGTTATGGAGCAGAAACCCTTGATGTACAACAGATGGCTCAGTACTACGTCTTCAACATCGGCATTTATCGTACCACCCCTACTGAAAAATCCTGTACAAATAGGACCCGTATCATACGATGTTATTGGATACGGGGATTATGGGCCATATGGGGGATACAGGGATTACGGGCCATATGGGGGATACAGGGCTTATGGGGCATACAGGGGTATATGGGCCATACAGGAGTTAAGGGGTTTGTGGGTAATATAGGTGATAGGGGTCCGAGGAATTCTCCGGTCCTGCTGAAAATCATAATATAGTGCAAAAAAGAGAGAACAGTCACACAAAACCACACACCATATAATTTTAAGCAAGCATAAACTAGCCCAAAAACAAGTCCTTCCGCAGAACAACCCCGGTTACTTTGGGCAAGTAGTAAGGGTCATAAGTAATGTTTGCCTAAGCATGGTAATAAGGCTATGCCAGTTTATAAAGTGTAAAAAATATGAATATGCCACAATGGGCAATTTAATGGTGCTTCGAAAGTGCAGTTGATTAAAGGAGTGGAAGTGTTGTATGTAGTGTAGTGTCGGGACATTTGAGAAAAACAAGACAAATACTTTTGCATCCTCGAATTTATTTATATGATCAAACATTTTGCAAGGAAGTGTGTTTATCTTTCTCAGCCTGCTAGGTGCATGCATATCTGCTGGCCGATTCACAAATTTTGCAAAACCATTTGCTTAGTACTGGGCAAACACATGTAGCACTTACTAAATACTTTAGTTATTTGTTTAACTGTAAGTTAAAACATAAAGCAAAATACCATAAAGAGTACTGACACAAAATTTTGTGGCTAATATAGCCTACGACATCGATTCCCTTGAACATGCGTATATCTACAAATTGGATGAACAATTATAGCTCAGATGGCCAATTATATGAATATTAAAGTTTGCGTGCCTGAACCAGTGCTATATGCCGCATCTCGCATCATTGAATCACTGAAAGTGACCTGAAGCTGAGTCCCAACTTCCAGGTGCCACCATTGTTGCCGAGCTCAGAGTTGGCACAGCTACATTATTGACATCATAGTCGTTGTTGCCTTTTGGCCACACTTGTGCTAGCAGGCTACTATTCAGTGACTGCTGTGTCCATGCCTAATGTAAACATGTGGAACGTGAGGATGCCCCAAGAAAATCTTTGCACCCAAACGAGAACGATCAACTTGACGACAACGACATTGTGCTGCATATGCAGCAGCAAAAGAATGTGAGCACATAACGCAGGCAGCACGGAAGTGCGTCAGTGTTCTGTGTGTAAGGAGGAAGAAGAACAATACGCCATAGTGGACCATCTCTTAAGCCAGAAGCGCCGAGCGGGAGCTGTTTGCCCCAGCGGTTTGATTACTGTGTCGGTTGTCACCGCCCACTTTCACTATTGATAGACCTGCTGTGCAAGTGCTTACACCTGGAAGCCCCGTTTATGTGTACCATTTAGCACACTAGCTGGCATATATTTGTTGCATTCCGTGGCTCGTGTTCTCAGAGCTGTGCCAAGATAAAACTAGTCTGTAATAAACAGACAGCAATTGTCCATCTGTCCCATGCTGCAGCAAGCAATCCGCCACATTGTGACTAATAGGCTGTCAACAATGTTAATATTGCAAGACAAAAATTTGCGTCAGTACCTCTTTAAGCAATATTCACTAGCCACAACCTCCAAATTTCTCACTGTCAGGGCCCCGTTCAGGGGCACCTGTTTGTCCTCTTGATGCACAAATACTCCAACACGGGGCTACTATGAGGCTCTTGTTCTGAAGCTGAAGGACACTCCACAGGAGCTTTGTGGCCTCCTTGCATCACGACCGCAGCCTCGCCCACTGCTCCTTCTTCTGCCTCTCAAATGAACCTGCAGGAGAAAAATGTCTCTGTGATCGTTTTTTCTGGTGTGGGAGTTAACATCGTTACACTCACTCTCAAATTATTGCTTTAAAACTTAAAACTTACTAGCACAACTACTTCAAAGAACAAAGTTTCAATAGTGAAAACTGATCCAAGAGGTTCCACAATTTTGAATTCAAACAGGTAAATAGAAGGTCTCACAGAAGAATATGCGTGGAGCTCTAGGCACGTGCATGAGTTGTGATCTGTGGTCTTAGCACAGCATTTAGAAGGGCACATGTCTTTTCTACTGAGAACGAAAAATGGGGTGAAAAATGTGAAGTAAACAATAAGTAGGGGTACACAAATATTCATATTTTTGAATATCTTTTGAATAATGTTTGCTATTCGATTCAATTTGTACTGCAAATTTTGCTATTTGAACTATTATAACTTACCAGAGACAAAACAAAGTCAATGTCTGACTGATAGGGACCCTCCAAATTTTTAATATGTTTCACCTCATCACACTCGTATTGCGTGAAAGCTGCCTTTCTGGCTCTGCTACGGTCACAAATGTACTGACTCTAGAAAAGGTTGATCCTAACAAGGAGATGATAGGTGTGGCAGAGGCAAGGGCTTATTTATAGTGGTTTTTGACCTGAAATTTGATCAACTCTTCGGCTGCATGAAATCGTGCATATAAACACATTCGTGCATACATAAATTCAATTGTGCAGTGCCTTATTCTTTATAAGGCAACTACGAAATGCCACCTTACCAACACTTATCAATTTTGCCAAAAGGAAGACTTTCATCTCATAAGAATAAACATTGGAAGCCTCTCCAACTTTTTTCTAGAATTTCACATGAAGTATTTGAAAAAAATTCTAGAAGTATACAAGAAATTTCAGAAAAATATTCAATTTGCACACACACTTCAATATTAGAATTCACTTTGGCACACATACTATAACAATAAAGTTCAAGAGAAGTGGGAAAATCAGAAATAGTTGAGCATTTTATCGGACACTTGTGCCACAGAGAATTATTCTCCTTGTTCTTCAAGCACTTTGAAGATGTTGAAGCAGGCAAAACCATATAAAGCATAGCCAATTAAGGGCACACTTGCACCAGAGAGAGCTTTTCCTCCTGTTTTTCAAATGCCTTGACGGTAACATTTAATGTCCAGCAATTTAAGGGCCCCGGTCATCTACTGTCATCACTTAAATCGTTTTCAAATTGTTCTTATAAAGTGTAGCAGATGGCAGATATACAGGAATTAGGCATACTAAAATGGGCATTTCTTTCACAAATTCAGTATAGTATACACAACACTCTCCATGAAGCAATTTAAGTCGCCCAGCAACCCTTTTCGGGCATGGTCAGAAAATGCTGCCGAGGGTAGTCGAGGCACCTGAGAGCATGTGAGACAGACATAATAGGGCAACACGCAGCTTGTTATTCATAATTTATTATCAGTCACCTGAAAAACGCTGTTTCTCCTGAACAAATAAGGCTCCGAATTCAACTGACTGCGCTTCAAGTGCAATGTGTACAACCGAAACCGGAGGCTGCCACATGCCCCTGCACCTGTTCGTGATTACACTGAAAAGAAGCCCCATGTTTGAAGAAAAAAAAGGGGGGGGGGGAATAAAAATAAAAGAGCTCAAGTTTAGAACGCACGTTGATAAAAAGGCATAGCTTCTTGTCCCCCAGTCATCCCCTCCCGCGTGGCTTTGAGTGAGCTCACTCGAACGAAAGGTAAAAGAAAGTACGTAAAGCATGTGACGAATTCCTGTAGCTCCGCTAGTACTTCGCAGATTGCAAAATTTTTTCCAACAGTCGATTTGGGATGAATAAGTTTCTCTAATGAAGACATTTGATGATTACTTGGAAAGGCTTTTCAGGGCTTCTTCATTACAAGGCAATGCGAACATGTGCCTGTAACATGAAGGTAGGAACTCTTCAACCTGATATGGTTTTGTTATGGCACAACGTAGTCATCACAATTCCAGCTTCCAGTTTTAAATTTAGTCGACCTGTTCCAAAACTTTACCCACTGTACAAACCACACCTTTAAATCAGTAAACTATTCAAAAATGAAGAAAATGCAATTATTATGTGAGCAAATACAGTACATGGATATAAAAAAGATAAGTGCAAGCAGCAGGAGTGTAAATGGCATGCATGAGGAATGTCGTGGAACTGGTAGAGATTAGTATTAATGCATCAACAGCAAACAAAACAAAAATTTTCAAAAAAAAAGCACAGCTGCCTACTTTGTTGTTTATGAGGGCCAGAACTGTAAGCGGCAGTCCCATCACTGGGTGCTGCCCCTCGAAAAGCAAAAAAAATTTATAATTAAGTCAGCTATAAAATAAGGTGATTCCACACAAGCATGCAACCACAGCTGACACAAATGAGCACTTAAACAGCATTAAAAAAGAAGCGCCCAAGCACAGCCCCTAATGAGCCCTTTGCAGCTACACGAGCTATCAATAGCTGTTTCTCTGAAGCATGCATGCTCCTGCACCCTCCTCTGAAAGAAGGCACCGCGCAATAGCCAGCATGCTTCACACCAAATGCTGGTGCAAAAGCCCCCCGAAAAAATGAGAACTCAGGACACAATGTCATGTGGAAGCCGCTACAGTGCTATGAGAAAAGCATGCAAGAAACTTATTCATTTCAAGCCTTTGCCTTTATTTTGCTATGCATGGATGAGTCATGTCAATATTCCTCGAACCAGGGTGCAAATGGCAACTATTGGCACCCTTGTTCAAGAATTATAGCAATTGAGAATCGATATTAGCAGTTACCTCTTTTGGATTCAATCTCACTTAACTCTACAAAACAAAACGCTGGTTAAAGCAAATGTGAGTGCTCCCAAGAGTGAAGGGTTTTTGTGTTGTTAGTGACTAATGACGAAGTCTGGTGAGTCAACTTACGAGTCCATTAAAATATGATTATCTTTTTCACCTATAGTTTCAGTGCTCCATAAAAGCAATATATTGCATAATAGGTGCTCCAGCTGGCACCTTGCAGTGTCTCGTGGCAGTGTAGCGGCCTCCCTCCACATGGATTTGCGCCTTGAGCTCTCAATTTTCACAGCTCACACATATCTCAATGCACAAGCATTTGTGCACCGACTCAATATTTATAGCTGAGAGGCCAGAACTACAAGTAGGGGGGGGGGGGGGGGGGAGTCGAGGTTCTTTGACATGCCCTCCTGTGAATTTCTTCCCGGGACATTCTCATAAAATATCTGAGGTGCCATCTCTTTGAATACAGATTACCTTACTGGGTTGCAGTCACTATATAAAGGTCTGAGATTGAAAGGTTGTAACTGGAGCACCAATTATGCAACACATTGCTGTTAAGGAGCATTGAAACCATGTGTGGAAAAGATCATCAACTGGAGCACCAATTATGCAACACATTGCTGTTAAGGAGCATTGAAATCATGTGTGGAAAAGATCATCATATTTTAACGGACTCGGAAGTCTACTCACCAGACTTGTCAGACTTGCAATGAGCAGCGAGTCTGAGTCCACTAGTAAGGCCTAAGGAAAAAATATATTTCATGAGTGAGTGTGAATGATTCGCAGATTTCTTTTTAACCTATGCAGGGTGCTGCTCAATATAAGCACGCAGAGACAGGGTAAATGCAGAAGTGGTTCAGCTGGTAAGGTAATGTGTTATGATATAGAAGAGTTCTTCGGTTGTCCAGAGAAGTGTTACATTATTAAGTAGTACCATCGATCATCTTACATCGCTGCCGAGAAAAACACTGACCAGAAAAAATTTGAAACAATGCAGTGTGATGTTTTGCATACAAAACAGCTCCTAATAGCACCTTAATAGGGCATCAGTCAGTCGGTCTATGATGAAGATTTTATAGATGATGCTGTGCAGTCACTGAGGAGGTGTTTTGAAAGAGAGTCTCGACACTGAGGAGTAACAAGTATTCACCGACTGCAGCAGGGGAGCTCCTGGTCAATACTGCAGTCTACATGGAGGGACTAGTCGGGCTGGTGATGAAATCATTGCTTGAAGGATTGAATATTCTGGAGTGCCTGAGTTTCATGCTTGCGATGAGTAATACTTGATGATTGTCTCACCATCATTGTTAGACCCATTTGAGTTGTCAAGTGATTTAACTAGCCATTCATTTAGAATAAAATATTGCAATGGCAATTATATGGACACTTTCAACAGCTGCTACCATTGAACATAAGGGCGCAGTTATGAGTGCTGGTGCGTGCTATTTGGATAAATATCACTACACGGCTTGTTTACGTGGTGTGCTCTCAGCACTTTCTATTCGTTGAGACTACCGACAGCACAAAAACCCACTCACTCTCCGCAGCACTGACATTGACTTTAACCAGTGTTTCGTTTTGTGAAATGGAATCTCAAGAGTTAAGTGCTAACCTTTGTATAGCATTCCCATTTGCTCCTATTTCCTTCATTGCTTCGTGCTTGTAACAAAACTCTGAGCTAAGACTTTATCTTTGGACCCCAACCAGCATTTGCTGGCGTGCTAAAACAGGGGTACAACAGCCGAAATAGCATTTGGAGCAATTTTTGGAGCAGCAAAATGTTACTTTTGGAGCACTAAATTCCAAGTTCGGAGCTGGTTATGGAAAAAAAGAACATGCATTTTTATCATGACAAAGCGAATTTGGAGCACTATAAAAAAAGGTGGCTTACATTTAGAGAAAAAACATGTATAAACAGTTCAACATAACCTAAATTATGTAGTGTGAGCATACTATTTACTACTATTTCAATGAAGGTAGTATTTTGAACCACCTCGCTAAGGAACCAATGATAAAGTCTATATTAGCGTTTACTGAACCTGTTAAATCAATTGACAAACTCTGAGAATTTCAATATCAATCTGCCGATATTGTGAGCTTGAAATTTGGAAGATTCGTAAAAACGAGAAGTAGAGGTGGTGAAAAAAAAAATTGGCGCACAATTTAGTTTATTTCTGTAGAGAAGCATAAATGTCACACACTGCTTCAAATGATTGACAGTAGCTTATTTATACGTCAGTAATTATACTGGTACTCAGAATTTAATGGTGTACAAACGCATGAGTAACTGAGCAAGATGTGAAGTGTCCCAGTATCGCGAACAGCCCCTTGTAAATCTCAACACGCTTTTTCGCAGGCACCGGTCTAGTGCGGCAAAGGTGACTCAAGCAGCTTTAGAACGAAAGTCAACAAATTTTCTTACCGCTCACCACCCCCCTCCCACCCACCCTTTTCAGCATGGGGCTATGTGCCGCTTCGGCTACCTTGCAAGACGAGTTTGACCAGATAAAGTAACAACGGCGCACCCCCGTTGCCCCGGCGACGGTACTAGATATCTATGGCCAAGACCGTGGCAAGGACACAGCTTCCAGCCAAAATTTGTTATTTGCCACTGCTAAGGTAATCAACACCGGCATTTACAGCACGTCGAAGCCTTATTAAGCCATATCCGCGTTTCTGGCAAGAGAACTTACATTTTCCGCGAAGGGTTGGTGCAACACATTTTTGTTTTAAAGTTCTGCCATCCCGCCGATACGTATCTGTTGTGGTCAGCGGACCGATAGACATGCAGTGTTGTTACTTTATCAGGTCGATCACGTCTCACGAGCATAGGGTGGGTGGCTAGATTATTTTAGGTATATTCTAGGCAGTTTACTTCGGGTTTGCACGCTTTTAGTGATGGTGCAAAGCTGCAGGTGGCCGACATGGCCTGCATTGCTCACCGCAATTAGTACACCTGAAAAAAAATTGAGGCTTGCTGGGCATTTTGGCGCAGCGTGGTGCAATTTTAACAATTTCACGGGTTTGGCCCAGCTCGGTGCAACAATCAGGAATTGTATCAAATTGGCGCGATTGGCACAGCTGCTGCACCCCTGCTAAAAGGGCCTGATGTTAAACTGTTCAAGCTTTAGCAGTGCATTTTGGGGGATGTTAAGTCAGCCATTGGAGTCTACCTGGTCACTGCCTCCAATTAAGGGGTAGCGACAATAACTTTTCTGCTCTATGTATCTACTTTGCCATTATTGAATATGACAGCTCTGCAGGTGTATGTAAACACTGCCTTACTTCAGAGCACTGTGTTGATTAGAGAAGACCGGCAAGTCCCAGACTTCCACAAATTTTTTACCCTATTGTAATCATTTTTGAGCATGTAATGATAGCAACCAGAAGTTTATACTAATTTGTTCAGAGCCTTGCGTTCTATTGACCGAACCAAAGTATGGTTTACTTTATTTAAAAAATTGCATTTTTTTGCTCCTGTACATGATTTTGGACATTTTGCACACTTTCTTTAAGATCAAATGAAAGTTATTCTAAAGGATCAAGTTCAGTTCAGTACACCACCATGTGTTGCTTGAGTACGTGCACAAACAATCAGCATGACATCTTTTGCCATTTTAAAATTATCATACTGACATAACAAAAAATGCCATTTCGAGAAGATGGAGTTCTACATATGCAATAAAATTGCACATTTTTTTTTCTGTGCTGACTTATTTTTTTTACTGTGCCACCTTATCTATTTCACTGTGTCTGACTTCGGTAAATGCTTAAACAACACTAGTTGGACAGCCTTTTCTTTTTGCTAAAAAATGCTAACTTCATGCTTTTCGTCAATTTAGAAAGAAAATAAGCTACAAATATACCATATATAAAAGGGCCATTTGCTTTCAGGTCGCTTTTTTCAGTTGATTAAAAAAGATACGCAGGATGAGGACAATACTGTAATATATCAAGCAAGCGCCCCAACATAAGCAAGTTCCATCCTCTCTCTTTCAAGATATTTAAAACATGTACGAACAACTGAGCAAGCACTCCCCCCCCCCCCCCCCGCCTTTTTGCCATTTCTGTAGTTTCCTTCACTTTCTTTATTTAGAAGCGCAACGAGGTTGCAGAATCATAGTGAATTCATGCATATTTATTAAAGTGTATCAGTTTCGTTGGAAGCACATGCAACTTTTTCACCATAATCTTGATTTTTTGATGCAAGACAGAGCAAGAACCCCCCCCCCCCCTCCAATTCTCGTCACATTCACCATAGTGGGAGCACTCGCTCAGGATTGCACGGTACACGAAAATTGTAGAAAAAGAATCTGCTTTCATGTCTAGTAAACAATGAAAAAGTACTTTCTTCTAACGTTTGCTTACCCTGCTCCCTTCATACACAAAATTAATAACATAACCCTTACAAATATTATTTAGTTCTGTAGCAAGGAAATATGCTGCCCACTGATATTTTGAACTGCTCTTCTGTCAAATTTATGAACAGAATTCAGAACTTATCTGAACACCTGTATACTATACAATGTGCATATTTCTTGCTCTTACTTGCTTTGTACATAAGTTCGATTTATTGTCCTCACATTTTTGTGTATTCAAGTTCAAGCCATTCCTGCATTGGCCCGAGAAGGGGCCTGCAATATTGTAAAATAAAATAAAAGTAAGCTACTTCGAAATTCACATAAACTTGGTTCCCTACACTGACAGACACACGTAGTTTCAACCCTGTTCAAGAAGCATGAAGTTGGCAGACTTGTCACTTATTCTGCCCATTGAAAACATCAGTGCTATTGAAAGCTAAATTTCTTAACAGTACACACTTGCCTGACAGCTTCTTCTTGAAGCATGTGAAGCCCTGTCAAGGTGAGGCATCATTGGGAAGGACTGTGGTAGCGGCTCAGAAGTTGTAATACTGGTTGTGATGCAGCAATGGCTGAAGTGAAATATAGGTCGTGGTGGTGGTAGCAGCAGCTGCAGTGTTTCTGCCGAAGGTGCCTGACCTGGAGGATATCATTGAAACCTAAGGGGTGACAGATAATAGGCATTAAGAAATCATGAAAAAGAATGTTCACTACATTATAGAAATTTGCAACTTAGAGTAATGGACAGCTGAGCTTATTGGTAGAGATTTATGTTGGACTTCTGTGAACATAATAAGCGAGAAGCGTAGCATGTAAAGGGTGTGTCGTGGGTAGTACCTACATTCACAACATAGCTCAGGGGCTAAATAGAGTGATAAACAGATACAACATAAATGCATTATGGCCACCAATAGACTAGGTACTAGGCGAGATATAATGTCATGCTGAAAAACATCGAGAGGGGACAAGAAGCTGGACTCACATTTGTTTCGTAAACACACCAAAAATTTTGTTGATTACCATACAGGCGTAAAGTAACATGTTCCTTTTAGCTTCGGCCATACCTACATAGGGAAGATGGGCCAGTGTTAACTATAGATGAATGAAAAAGAAGAGAGCGCGAACTACAGGCTCACCGAAAATTCTATCTTTAAATTGTCGAAGGTGTGTTGAAAGCACAGGCCGACCAAAAAAAAAGAGTGAAGCTCACTCAATCGCAAAATGTATTTGCACATATAGCTCATTCAGATTCTCATTTATGGCCCAATCCGAGTTTGAGTGACTCGGCTTGTGAGGGAGTTTGCCGACCTATGGCTGAGAGGGGTTCTGAAGTCTGCCATTCCTTTCCTCCAAAGCCTCTATTTGTTGCTCAATCCACTCGTTCAATTGTAAAAATTTTCTCTTTCTGGAGGAGGCTCAATCAAACAAGCTTCTAATTGCCAGAGCCATCCTACAGGGCTCTTTTTCTTTCTTGAATCGCTGCCTTCTGCGACTTTTTTTTTTTTTTGGAGGGGTGGGGTGGGGGGCCTTGGGAGTGTATATAAAACCCAAAATATTACCACTCAGTAGAGACGCTCTAAATGCCATAAAATCCAGAGTAAGCACTCCTGACAGAGCAAGCACCTCCCTACTTTCTTGCTAAATAGAGGTGCTAAATAAGTAGCCTCTTCTCCTCTACCACCATCTTCACTGTTTTCATTTGCCGAGTGAATGCGAAATAAAGCCGTGTATGCATGGGCATTCAAGAAAGTGCTTAAGTAGACGCACAGATGTGCATTTTTTATTCTCAGTGATTCTTCCACTTCCACGTTAAATATTGACCGATGACTGAGCAAGAGCCTACTCTTCAAACCTTGTCGAATTATCATTCACTCTCCAGGAGCACTTGCCGAGAATTTTTCGATGAACACAACATACTACAAAGTCTGTACTTTCCAGTTACATGTACCTCAAGACTAGAGTTGCAGTAACTACCTTACTAAGTCATATATTACTTCATAGGTAGCCATGAATATTCACTTGAATATCATACTGTCTGCTGTGTTGCTGACCGCAACAACTGCATGTGCTCCTTAATTTATAACTATTCAATAATTGCACATCATATTTGCAGACTGATGTTTATACAGTGATTTACCAACATGAATTTATGCAAATCATTACAAAATTAACTGCTTCATGAACGTAACAAACATATAGTCAGCATGAGTATAACTTGAGAAGCTTGCTTTGGCATGTTGACACTCC